TGGGATTTTGCATCTTAGGGCATCATGGGACGGCTGCCTGGGCTCCACACACCTTTCTACCTGAGGAAGAGACAGTTCTGCGAGTGGTAGTGTATAGAGGGGTAGCATGATGTGCGCTGCTTTTTCAGTGAAATGCTAAGGTGAGCCATGTGAGACAGCAGTTCTAACCTTTTGGCTCACCACCTAGCCCATCAGATGCAGCTTCAAAGCTACCCCTTCATTCAGCCACCCCCCACCATTCATGCGTCAAATGGTGCCTCTTTTTTGGGAAGAGATTTTTGAATAGGGATGTGTATTTAACACTATCAATGTATATAAAAGCGCAATTTTTATTGCTCCTAAAAAGCAAGTAATTAAAATACACTACTACCGAGACATTAGTGACCCTGGCATTGTCGATTTAGCTGGTCTCCCGTTGTTATATTAAATCATATCAACTCATCAATAACATAGGCCATATGTATCTATATCCAAAATGGATCTTCACAAAGCCGTCTTAGAAATACCCAAACGTCCCAGAATCAAACGCCAAACAGAACATACAGCCACTGAGACCTGTCCGGCTTACAATACTGTATGCCTCCTAAGTTGGGCCGTCATTTGATGCTGTGATACTAGTACGACCAGATCTATGTAAGAAGATTCACCAGAAGTAACTTTACAAAAATTGAACAAATTAAAACATAGTACATGCCACCTTCATGAATATATATCAATATGACGTCAGAAACGCTCCCCCAAGAGCATCACTGACCATTTCCAAAGTCAAGAAGATGGATAGAGGAAATGAACACCCATAGCTCATAGACAAAACACCGTAGACTAAAGGTTTGTGAAATCCACGTAGGTACAACTCAAAAAACAAAATAATTCAGAGATGCCTACAGGAAACATTATCCTACCTACCTACCTGAAATGGTGGCGTCACTGATACATTATTTAATAACCATTCTTTGAGAAAATAAAACACAGCCAGGAAGATAGTCACACAAATGTAAAAAAAAAATCTGTTGTTTGATAAGAGACTCAACAACAAGCTAAACCAAAGCTAATAAAAACCTAGGAGGAACACAAGAACAAAATAAGCATACATCTTGCGTTTTGTTAATCAATACATATTGGCACCCAAAAAAAAACATGTCGATACTGGCACCATAGTGTGAACAGATCACAAATAAAACCTAACTTTTGGCCATGCAATGATAACCACCCAGATACCCATTTAATCAAAACCCAGAATACAGATCTATATCCTTGAAGCCCCAAAAATACCGTGTTAAGCACAGTGTTGTTGTTGTGACGCGACATTGCACAACCTCTTGGATCATTCAATTATCTTTATGAAGAAGTCCGTGGATCAAAGTAAAAAAAAAAAAAAGTTTGTCTTTTTGATTTTTTATTTTTTTTCTCCAGCAGGTTGGCGGTTCTTACTTGGTTGCTACAGGGAGACTCATGCCGCGTCTTAAAGATAACTTCTTCATGCCGGCTGCAATCAGTTCTATCCTTAAATGCCACAGTACACATTAAAGGTTAGAGGGGCCAGGGCCGTTTTCATTGCGTGATGTGGTCGTATCAGAATAAGAAGCGGATCAAACGATATCAATTAAGCCTGATTAATTTGTCTTATTAGCCACAATTAGCAGTGTGATATGGCTTGTGTCCGTGTTTGTATTTACCCTCACGAATGCTACTCTACTAACTCGCACAATGTTCTCTCAAAGTGGCGTTAAGGCTTACTCTATTTCTTCCTCCAACAGTGATGGTGGCTGGTGATGCCGTTCGATCATGCTGTTTTTGTCTTGTCGGTTTGCCTCCGACGATTACCACAGCAACTTTTCTGCATCAAGCTCAGCAAACCAAGCTCCGCATCTCTGCGGTATCCGGTTTTGTCCCGCCAACCACAGTCTTTGTCTTTGCCGCACTGGCATCTGCGCTACTTCACCACATTTCATACGCCACACACCACAACACACACACAGGACTAAGTCGGGTAACAGATCTTTCTGAGCAATTTGAGGCCCTGGGTTATTAGCCATCATCTAGAGCGACAAGTGCTTATTTTCGCTCGCAACGGATACCAACTGCCAGCGCTGAAAGGAAAACCCACGGCCCCCTTCCTCATTCTGGGGTTGGGGGCTTTCCAAGAATTCAAATGACTTTATTATTGGGGGCTATATGGGGGGGGAGTAAGTTATTGATCGTGCTTTCAGCCAATTCTTGTACTGATCGCTTTTCTTAGATCATGCCTATTTCTACAGGGGCACAGTTAGGACGCGGCATGTTTTTTGTGGTTGTGTTTGTGTGCTTTGCATTCCCTTTTTTTCAGCTAGACGCAGAACCATAAATTGTATTTTAACCAATCATTTAAGGTATTAGTGGTAGCTATAGGCAAACCACTTGCAGCGTTCCCTCCATCCCCATCATCCCCTGGCTTACTGCTCGGCTGCCTAAGCGTTTTGCGCCCAGCAGTTGAGCCTGCAGTATACCATCGTAGTCACAGTATGATTTCCGTGACTCTGCCTATACCACGCAGCTAACTCCTATGCCCCATTGTTGGCTTGGTGCTGCTGGTGCCTAAAAGGTAGTCAGGGCTAACTCGTTGCGGATGCCAACACCACCTATTAACTCCCCCCCAGGGGGCCGCCAAGCCTCTGAGGTACACCCATCTGGGAACAGAGGGAAAGAACAGGGAAAGGGGTGCGAGAAATGGGGGAAGGAGTGAATTCAGATAAGGGGAGACACGAGGCGGTGAGGGAAGAGCGGGTGGGCAGAGGAGGTAAGCGAGGGAGCGATAAAACAAAAACATGTTGTTTAATTGACATTTTGGCAGTTTTTAAAACGCGGGGGGGAAATTTGTTTGGGCTAGAGTGCTGACAATACGTTACACAAACAAACCCAATCAGGACAAAGTTTGGATTTAGACACTCCCCGTATAATTAGAAAAACAGATGGGATGCGATGCCGCCTGAGCCCAACGACTGAGCATGAAAAAAAAAAACTGCCCAGTTCTATCTCGATGACAGAAGAGCCAGGCAACACATTTTTCCCATAAAGCCAATTCCCCCTTTCTGTCACAGACACTTAGAAAGGTTGTTCTCCTACTTGTCCCCTGCCTGTCTCCGTCACGTATTACTGTGGTGTTTTTCCTTCCTTCTTGTTACTGAACCGAGATAAACATCTTTATTGGAGTTTCCCATCACACTTTTCTTTTTCTCCTCCAAGAAACTCTCAAGCCCGCGCAGAACAGTGCCATTCTCCCAGCTTTGCTTTGCTAGAAAGACAGTCTCTACGATTGTGCGGGCCGCCTGATTTAAAGCGTGTCCAAAGCAAATTTTTCGAAGCAGCCCCAGTAAGAGATTTCACAGCTTGAGGCACTCTGCCACGTTCCTGTGCCCCAATGCTTCTGTATTTGCTCCGTTGTACGTCTAAACTTAATGGTGCGGCAATGGATTATGGATATAAAAGCTGTGAATGCACCCTACGACTCCATGATTCATTAGTGGTGAGAGCATGAAGCAGTATTATCTTTTTTTCCCTTCCCTTGGTTTCTGGAGGCCCCAAAAGAAGACAACATACTCTGAGGCCCTCATTGCGACATTTAAAACAGTATCACTACAATACAACAGACAAGACCGGGAGGAGAATCCCTCACTAAATCGGAATTGAGATATGAACTTATCTCAAAATAATTTACAAAGTTTTGGCAGACAGGTGGTTTTATTTTAAAAAATAGGCTCTCAAATAACTAACACAAGATTTATTAATTAATAAGAGAATACATTGCTTTCTGCAGCCAGTAATACACTCCCAGTAAAACCACAAATTTACATTTCACGTCGCTTTGTGCTACGAGTTAAATAAACAACGGGATTGATAATTGGTTCGGGGCAATAGCTAATTTACCTTTTGGGGGGAGAGCTTTTGTTTCGCATAGCGGCCCCTATTCAAACCTTTTAACTATCGCGACAGAGCAAGGTTAAAAATACCCCCAGCTTGGTTAGGGGACCTAAGCTTATAGCTAATTGGGGGCCCTCGGACTCACCTGCGCTCCATACTTTTTTTGTTTTGCAGACGAACCCTGTAATCTCTCCATGACTTAATGGGGAGGGAAGAACACACACACAAAGCCTCCTTAACATCCTGTATAGTGGTGGTGCACTTAGCGTATAACTATAAAAGCAAACACTACCACTCCATGATTAAAACAGATAGAATGCATACAAATCACTACAGACCATCCTCTCATAAATGTTGACGCGACCCTAGTTGCCGGTGGGGCTACTACAGCGCGCCCGATCAGGCGTTTCAGGGGCCCCCTGCAAGTGGGCAACAGCCTAGCGCATCCTCACTAAGCCTGTCACTACTCTCTGGGGATTAACGTCGCCCCTCCTCTTTCCGCGCTCCAACAAAGCCTCTGCCGCCCAGTCTGCAAAGCCCCCGCCCGAAGGCTCCGGGCTCAGTGCTGCCGCGGCCCACCGCTGAGCGCACGGACAAGCTGCCTCTGACCAGGAGGCTCGAGGATGGGCGTGGCCGAAGGGGCCTGACATTTTTCCTGCCGCCGTCCATTCCGCAGCTGCCACTGTCGTCCACTGATTTTTTGGCTGATGGGGGGAAAACGTGGGAAAAAAAATTAAGGGGGTCAGCTGGGGCGGGTGACGTCACGTTTTGGCCTGATCGGGCGATTTGAGCACGCGCCGGCGGTAGGACCAACGCGCCGAAAAGTGGTCATTCCTAGATAGTGACGCACAGGGTTTTGTCCAGTGAGGAATTATCACGTCTCGCAGATGAGGTTTTGGTGTTGCAGCCTCGGCTGAACAAACTCAAACGACTAGGGGGGCCGACAGTCGGATCCCAGAGCCGGTCAGTAAGCGCCGCTGTCGAAACAGTCGCTGCGCGCGAGGTTTAGATCGTTGTGAACGACACAAGGACTCGGAAGGCGGTGTCTGGAACCCCCTGAGAGGGAGAAAGGCTTCCGATGAAGTTAATAAGTCGAGTGCCCAATTAGCTGAAAGCCGATATAAGAAAGATATTAACCCTTCATTGCAGCGCTGCTTCATTTAAGTTAGCTTATCATTTTTCAGGTACATGACCCGTATCTAGGGGTTTTGAATAGCAATAGTTCTGGGTGCTTTGTGTAGCGCAGTGCATTTCTGCTGCGGCCTAGCATGGCCTTAACCTAATATGAGTTCTGCCTTTTCATTAACCAGTTATGTCACCCATTTCCTTTATTGCTTGCTGCTTTTCATGAACTTGAATGAATTTTCCTAACCTCCAGTGTCCCTCCTGGCGTATTATTATAAGTTGGGCAGACAGGCCCAACTTCCATCCCTAGCACTTTCACGAACCTACTGCTTTCCCGTTTTTTGGTGGAAGGAGGACTGACATACACGCTTTTAGGAAGAAAACATTAGGGGGGAGTAAAAGAGATGAGTTTGGTCGTTCATCATTTCATTTATATAGTCTCGTAAATCGACGGCATTTCATTTTTCCAGGACAGCTGGCAGACAGAAGTGTACAACGCGGATTTGATTCAGTGGATAATGCCCCGGAGGTTCGTTTTAGGGCGAAGTGCCCCAGTACAGTATGCAGCCAGGAAAGTTTTTATGGGCTTTTGAATCAAACCTAAAAGGTTGCTGGATTAGTTGATTTCAAATGTGGGTTGTTGTGGGGGCCATTGCTGCATAAGTTACATATGCATCTTCCCACAATGGTAAGATGTGGCATTTCATATTTGTGCAGTCATATCTAGTTTCCCTTGCTTCCACATAGTGCTCTGTCTCCACTATACCCCTTGGATCGACTCTTATCGTGCTAGCATAACGAGGCCAAAATAGCCACACAAGACCTTAATTTTCAGCCCCCCTACCCTCTTTGTCACTACCTCTCTTGACTCTGATAGTCAGGTGATAATGAGAAGCCCCAAATCTCAGGATCCACTGTGTTTCCTATGTCCGACACTGTCTAATAAAGGTGGACCCCAGCCACCCTCAACACGCCGGCTGTGCCTAGTGTTTTGGTGGGCATGTGTTGTCTACTTAAACTTGCCCAAGCTAAAAGAGGGGTTTGATGGTCAAATCTGCATGGGCATCCCTGACGTCTCTCACACAAACACACAAACACGAGACAGCCCACAAACACGAGCGACACACACAAACACAACACGCACACACATCACATCACAAACACAAAGATTTTAAACTCTGTTTATCCGTAACTTTCCAGTAAGCATTTCAGTCAGCCAAGCGATGTTGTGGTGTGTGTGTGTTCATCTACATCCTGTATTTGCACACGGCTCGCAGCCGTTCCGAACTCTCCTTTAGGACAGCAATTATTAGGGTAGAATTTATTAAATAACACACAAATTGAGCTCAGATAACGTAAATCATTTATCAACTCTCCAGAGTGTTACAGTAGCAGCCGACGCCTATGGAATTGTTTCAGTTCTGTACATTCCCCATACTCCATATGTGTGTTCGTCAAATGAATTAATAAATGAGAGTGACTTTGCGATGGTCGGTTCAGGGGATGAGGCCGGGTTTGACCACCCAGAGGTTGGTGTTCGTGCTGAGGCGATCCGTGCCTAAGAGTACTGAGTGACGAACGTTCTCACTTTTATGTGTGGCGTATACCCATCTGTCCTGGGCAATAGCAACACAGATATACAGGCTTCGTCATCGAGTGACACGGCAAAACTCTGATCTGGTCGCATGTGATGTAGATCTATTACCCTCTGTGAATGGATGACCAGCTGCCTACATTTTTCGTTTGGAGAGGGCACAGCGTCTTACAGTGCCAGGAAAAGTACACCGCAAGCACCAACACATCACACATATGCGCACACACAAACACACACACACACACACACACACACACAAACACACACACATACACACACACACGCGCGCACACACTAAAGTAATCCACTGGGTGTAAATAGAGCCTGACTACAACCGCTCTGTGTATGTCTCAGTTTCTCTAGTGGGTTTTAATCACTGTGCTTTGGGGAGGGGATCCTTGGAGATTCAGCTCAGCTGTTGAAGACCACTGCTGTCGTGCGTAAATTAATTTAATTTATTAAAGTGTTGGTTCATCTAAAATACAAAAAAGCATATTTTCTTTACCATATTTTAAAAATGGCAGAGACATAAAGACATAGAAACCCTGAGATACCAGATATAATCAATCTGTTTGTATCATTTCCACCCTGATTTTCAGAGAATGATATCCATCACAAAACTTAAGCACATAACACTATCTGCATTGGTAGATATTTCTTGGTTGGTAGTGAGAAAACATATTATTTGTGCTATGGGTCAACTGAGCCTATAAAAAATCATACTGTTCAAACCTGTTAAATTTCAATTAAATGCAGCAAATTGTAAACTTGTCTCCTCTGGCTTGCTGCAGTTTTCTCCTCATTCAGCTCTTCTTTGTGTATGGGTGTTTTGCATTAATTTTACCCATGGATGGTTTAGCCATCCACTGGGCATAAACAGAAGCTGAAACCGAGCCTGGGTGCATTCAGATGTAGCAGGGGAGGAGAGAGCGAGAGATAGAGAGACAGAAACAAAGAAAACAGAGAGGTACATGTTTGCCATGTCTGTCTGCTGGGTTTCATCAACTCTACCCCTCTCATAATCTCTGCACACACACACACACACACACACACACACATTCACGCAAACACACACACACACACATTCATGCAAACACACACACAAGCTCTTTCTGTCACACACACACACACACATGCTCACACAGACTGGTGAATAGCGTTGAGAGACAAGTGGACAAGCACAGTATTCTTCCTCCTATTCAGAGCAGCCCGTTAGAGACCGGCTGTTGCCCACGGCAACAACACTTTGCTGCGGATACGTACTGAATGTAAACATTCTCCGTCCCTCGCTCTCTCATTGGTCAAGAACAAAACCTGATTATCGCAGCGACAGAGACAGACAGACAGAGAAAGAGAGCGGAGAGTTGTAACAAAGTTTTCCGCTGCTCCCTCTGAGAGTTTGCGCTCTCAGAGACTCAATCGAACATCAGTTGTTTGTTTGGCTAGCCACTGTGGCGCCTCACAAAATAAACTGGCCTCACACCGCTACCCTGACACAAACTAGCTATTTCAAGATGAACACATAAAGTGCGACTGACGGGGGGCCATAGGCACTTGACAGAACTGTTAAAACACCAAAATCAACACTGCTATTAAAGTCACTTTGATTTACATTCTTGAATCACGCACACGCAAATTATTAGTGCTCGTTAATCATCATAAGTTATTAATGCAGCATATAAAACCAAAACATTATTGTTTAAATTAGGGCTGCAATAAAAAAAAAAGGCAATGGCAATACCCAAGAGCCAAAGGGTTTATCTTTATATTACTTGTTTTGTTCAACCAACAGTCCAAAAGCCAAAAAATATTCAATTAAAATCATATAAACACAAACACGCAGCAAATTGTTATGTTTGAGAAACTGAAACTAAATCATTTTTGGTGTTTTTGCTTAACAAAGTCGATCAACTAGCAGACTACAATTAGAGAATACAATTAACTAAAGAATAATCATGTACAGTGTATGTGTACATTGCACTCCATCACACAACAATTAGACAATGTTTTGATTTGTCGAGGAACTGGAAGAAATGATTTTAATTCTCCTATTTGCATTTCTCTTCAATGAAGCATGCATTAGTGTACATATTGTATCATCTAGTCTGGCTTTTAAACTCTCTCCCTCACCTTGGTAGGCCTTGGTGTGTCCAGCGATCAGGTACTTAAGTTCAAAGCTGTAGGATCGCATCTTCTGCTGCGTCTCACTGCGAACTGCCGCCATGTAGCTGTCCTCCATCTTACTGGTGCAGCAGCTGGGCCCAGGGTGGACACACACTCGCAGAGACTCATCTGAAAGACAGAGGCGGAAGAAAGAGCTTCATTCCTCATCATATTCACTGAAGATCCAACACAGAATAAAAGTAATTATTTCATAAAGTCTGCATCCACCTTTACTCTGACCTTGGATAAAAGGCTTCAGGCGTACTCACCAAGTTTTTCCTGATTAATAGAAGTAAGACATATCTGATAAATGTTTAAAAAGGTACTCAGAGCTAGAGATGTGTTCCTAAAGGTTGTTTTATTAATCAATTACGTTTGTTGATCCATTTAGGGAACAGTAATCTCAGACTTTATTCACAAAACTAACTCTACGATGAGCCTGTTGGGACCTGACATGATGACATGCACAGTGGGCGACACTTCACAGTTCACACCAAGTGTGTGTGTGTGTGTGTGTGTGTGGAGCAGTCTGACATTGGTAGAGTGCTGTAAGCCAAGCTGTCAAGCAACTGACTGAGATCAAGGGAGAGAGAGAGATTAGAGGAATGGACAGTTCACCTATATCTGACCTGACACACACACACACACACACACACACACACACACACCAGACTTATTCAGCTATACATATTAGCACTGGCTGACGGTCGAGTACATTACTGAGATAGCTCGTATTTATTGGTAATGCTATGTTGGATTCCTCAGTTGCCAGTGGGACAGTAGGTTGGTGGGAAGCCAGACGACCAGCTCAGTTTTTACAGCGACATATAAATCTGAGAACAACAACCAGTCCAACACTCACTCAGTCAGCGAGATTCAGAAACCTGTGCGGCCTCTGTTTTTCGTCTCAAAGCTAAATGTTCAAACTAATTTGAAAAAAAAAAAAAAATCTCTCCAGCTCAAGGTCCACTTTCTGGAAATGTTCCAGAACTTTCAGCTGCATCAAATGTCCTTCATCAGCAGATGGAGTCTGCTCAGTTGTCATAGAGATTGTTTCATTGTTATCACATGATATATGTATGGAATTTGATCTGTCACATGATAACAGGTGGTCATACAGTATATGGCGGGGGAGATTGTAATCCCTGTCTTTGTTGCAGCCTCAAAGCTTTAGAACATTTCCGGTAAGTGGACATCGCGTTAAGAATATTTTTGTGAGAGGTCAATAATGAAACCTCACGCTCAACAAAACTTCAGGTGGTCCATTCAGGAGAATTCTGACGACATTTTCAGACCAACCGTCTTGTTCTTCAGCTTGAATATAAGAGTAGGCAGTGTTTGTGTGGGTATTTGCTTCAAGGAGAGCTGTTATACAGCCTACTTACAATTACTACTCTCTCAAGTTAATTCATCCATGGCCACACCAGATCACAAGACCGTTGTGTAAAGAATCTACTGTGGTAACATCTATAATTAGCAGACATCCCTGCCTGAAAATGCAAAGGCCGCCACCGTATTTTGTTAACTAGCTGTTAACAATCACAAGCTCGTAGAAACAGCGTCAGTTCCTGCAGCAACGACAATACTGCACGAATACTGCAGCACCTTACATCTAATGTTTCGTCGACCACAGGCAAATGAGTCCCCAAAGGCAAGTTAAAGAGATATAGAGATAAAGCATGGATTCTTCATTCTGTTGCAGCCGTGTTATCTGCTGTTGTCTGGCAGATTTCCTTGTGTCTGCTGAGTATAGCTGGACGATTAATATCTGATTTTTATGCACTTTCATGAACTGTATAATTATGAGAAGGAGACAGTTAATGTTGTGTCAAGATTACAAGAAAATAAAGCGTGTTAACTGGAGATCTGTATCATCCACCACTTGTCTCCACTGTCCAGGGAAATCTGAAATTACTGCCAGCAAAATGACTCCAAGGGATCACCTCAATGTGGTTAAACGAGCCGGACAAAATCTCACATTTACATTTAGAAAAACAGCATCTTTAACACCACCACTTATAGCCACGTACACTTTAAAGAGCTCTATATTAGTGGTGCAGACTATTTAGGTTAGTTTTTAAACAGAAATAGCTTCTCTCTCTCCAATAAGTGTTGGCTGCACACTGACGATCGTGTATATTTGGAATTTGGCCCTGCATTTCTAAAGCTATGAGTTTAAATCCTGTGTGGGCAACAACTCACAGCAATGCTTCAAGTATTAAAAATCTCATAGCAGGAGAGATATTAATTTGGAGTCTGGTTATTTAACAGGACATGTCTGTTCGCTTTCATTTAAGTCATTTAAAAGGAGAACGTGTGGAAAATATTGCCTTTCTTTTACATATGTTTCAGCACAGGAAGGTTGTTAAAGTGTGTGATACTTTACAATGAATTATATATTTTACCTATAGAGATCTTTAAGGTGTTTTGTGTGGTTAGTACGGATTGTATACAGTAGTATTTGGATCCTTTATTAAAGTAAGGAATACTTTGTTAAAATACTCAATTTCAAGTTATTCAAACAAAATTGTATGTAAGTATAACACAAGTATGTATTATTAGTATATATATGTATGTTTTTATATAATCTATGTAGGTATATGTTATGGTTACTGATACATCATTAACATTTAGATGTTTTGGATCTAATCTTAACTACTTTATATACTGCACTCTACTTTAATATGTAATGTTGAATTGTAATGTATAAACTCACATGTTTTTGTATTTAAAATCTGAGTAACAGGTAAATACTCATTACTACTAATAGTTGGAGTAAAAAAAATGCGAAATGTGCCTCAGAAATGTGGCGGAGAAGAAAGATGAAATGTGACAAAATGGAAATGCTCAAGTAAAGTTCGACTATCTTAAAATTAGACTATATAAAATGTACATACACGTTACACCCCACCTCATTTTCCAAAGTCCCCTGTAGACTTTCTGCTATGATATTTCCAAAGGGACTGACTGACCTGTTCCCGGCCTGTCTGGCACCAGCTCCACCGGGCCTATTTGGCGCATCATGTAGGCTGTCTTCACCTCATGACAGCTGTCCACATCGGCTGATCTACAGCCGGTCTCCGGTAGGAAAACAAAATAAAACAAAATCAGCCAAAACAAGTCCACGCTTTGTAAGGCTGCACGGAACATCGCAACATCTCAGTCAGGAGATAAGAGAGTCTGAGTGCTTAATATGAATTCCTAAAAAAAAAAAAGTCCCACGGTGCAGTGTGACTGAAAACTTCATCTGCAGCCAGTAAGTCTGTCTGGAGCCCACTGTCAGCCTCAGCGCCCTCCTCCCCCTCTGACTCTCTCACTCACTAAAGCTCAATTACTTAATTGACATGTGCACTCAAAATACCTTCAAAATACCACTTCGTTTGAGAGTGTGTGTCTGCTATACGGTAGCTATCGTAATGGGAATAACAACGTATTACAGTTGAGAAACTGGCAACACAATAAGATCCATAAATGTCATAAAATCACAAGGAATAAAGGCAATTTACTCGGAATTCACTTACTTATGTGGCAATAAAACGCACAAGTAAGCTTTTTTTTTTTTTCCAGTGACTTTAAATCTGTATATCACACATATACTTTACAACAGCTGCTGCTACTGCAGATACGGTCCATTAAACCTGACTGATGACTGTGAGTGAAGTTGAATCAGGAGGAAATACTGGTTGAGAGTGGGACAATGGCGCCACCTGCTGGTCACTTTGGACCATAGCAGTCATTTTAAACACCTCCTTATTAAAATAACACCATTCAGATAATGTAATAATGACTTAAAGACTGCTTGTTGGGTGTTACATGTGTTCCACTCACTAATTATATAATATAAAATGAGTAGTTTTGACTCAGCACTCAGTTAATATTGCTAACACTGGTAGCAGTTAGCTGAGACAGACAATACAGACAGCAGTGCCAGAGCCCTCAATATCCGTAGTTTGCACTTTCTTTTGTTTGACAATTTGACAAAAAGATGATTTTCTTCAAATTTACCTCTTCCAACAACCTTAATTATATATTTTTTTCCCAACACAATGTCCAGTAGCTAAGCTAAGGCTGTTTGCAACGGATAGGCGTTAACTAACGTTAGCTTTACCGTAACCATGACAACGTATCAAGTCCGGGAACAGTTACTGACATTGGAGATGATTGATTGATTGATTG